AGTAATCATTTCAAGGATACAAGAAATTATGAAGCACAGGTAAAACATGCACAAGTCTGGAGTGTCCACACCACTTCCCAGGGCCTTTCTTGCTAAACTAGAATGAGCTATGGATTGGATTTAATATTAGAGATCTCTAAATGATGTCTGAGAGTTGTGTGTGAGCACATTACTTACAAAAATGGGACTGTTTCTTCACTTCTCCATTTTATTCTCTGAAAATTATGTATATTAGGCATGTACCCTGCCACTGATCTATATGCCTCCTCTATTCTCTGAAAATTATGGAGCATGAAAAATACATGACATTTTTTTTCGAGGAGCCATACCTATAAATCCATAGATTCCAAGTTTTGTTTACCAGAAACAATTCTAGATGAAGCAGGTGCATGCTGCTAGATAAAGACTGTTACTACTTAATATAGTTTAATGAGTTTGCCAGGAAGTCTGGCGTGAGCATGTTTATAAGGGGACTCCAATGTAATCAACTTTGTTTTTCTTTTCCTTCCAGAAACAGCCCTGGTAAAGGGAGGAAACTGATTGTAGAACTGTTGTTTCTTTCACATTTCTTAAATAAAGCACTGAGAGGTATCATCACTGAATTTATGACTTACATCAAGAGTGTGTGTGTTTCTTTATGGGAACTTATAGCACTTTCATTATCATGACTCCTATTCTGTTCCCTAATTCCATCTCTCCTGAATTCCTTTTACGATGTGGTGGCTAGAAGTAATGGCAATAATCCAAGGGTGAACTAACCAGGTTACTTAAATTTGGCAATCGCAGGAGCTGTCAAAGTCCTTTAGGATTGTGAAGTCCTTTAGGATAAAAGCATATTCACTCCTCCCCTCCTTACATTGGGTCACCAGCATATGTAATAATTAAGATTTCCTTAGCTTCTTCCAAGCCATTGCCAAAAGTATGAGGTGAGGTTACCCATGTAGATGCCTTATTATAGAACTGTGACTGGGCACGTGCTCCAAAGCTGTTGCCCCTGGGAGTCAAGGTAGCCTGGCAACTAAATGTAAGGGCTCTGATATTAGAAAGACGTGATTCAGATCCTGGTTCTACAACTGATCTGTGACCTTCAGCAGTTTAACTAAAACCTCAGTTTTGTTATGTGTATCAAATGTATAGGGTTGTTGTGAGGACTAAATAAGATCATGCATTCAAAGCCCTCAGTACTGTACCTGGCACTAGAAAACGCTCTACCACTCTTAAATACTCTCATTATTAACAGTACTTCTCTATAGTTCTTCCTCCAGGTTGCTATTCTTTCTTTCATGCCCTTTGGTATTATTATAGAGCACTTACTAAGTTATTGGGTTGCCTTTGACTTGAGCTTCTGTTTATTGATCTTGTTCACCAGCATCAATTTTCAGTTCTCAGGTTCCCTGAGAGGTAGACTGCATCATTGATAACCCCTGGATATATGATATAGATGCAAAAGATTTCTAAAGCCATTAGCATCAAGTGGTACTATTGTCATGATTATGTGTTAGTTTCTGGGATTGTTCTCAAAAACTCAAAAGCTAAGAAAAGGTTTCTTTTCCCAGACTCACTTGAGAGAGGGAGCAGCAGCCAACAGTATTAGTGATTTCCAGTCATGTAGTTTTTAAGCTGTTTGTTTCCACCTAATAGAGACTGCAATACACTCTCATTATCTTGTCTTAAATTTTTTCCATAATTTGGATCCACAGGAAGCTTGATAATCTTATTAGCTCACAGAAGATCACACAGGTCTGCAAAGTGAGGCTCAGACCCGGTGAAGAGAAAGTAGCTGGTACTCTGGTTGCCAGCTCGATATAAACCAAAGGATGCAGAGAAACTCCATGAAAATGATGAAGCCTTCCGCTTTGGCATAGTTGCTACAGACCCATGATCCAGGGTCCAAAGAGAAAGACAGTCTGTTCTTCCTGTGCATGTATGTGCTGGCTAGCTGGGCCTTTTGAATTTTTGAGACATATTGAGAGTGTTCTCTGGCCTGTGTCTTCAAGATTTTACTGGGGCCAAGAGAGGGCAAAAGCTTTCCAACTGGTCTGGGCCACAGGGCCAGCTACTCTGTCCCTTGGTATCCATCCCTCTCCCTTCCACAATTTTTTTTTTAAAATTTCAGCTATTGAATTAGTTACTTTCCCTCATTCATGACACAAAGTCATTATTGGTCAGTGCAAGGTCCATCTCTTGTTTACCCATTCATTTCTCTTAAACTGTATACCCTATTCTATTTTCCCTCCCTTTTGATCTAATGAATTTAATAAATATCTTTTTTGAAATGTTCTTTTAAATATGTACTTTCTACATACATTTTTATTTTACACAAACAGTAATGTCTTTTCTTTTTTGTTTTTACTCAGAGCTATAATAGCTTTGTGTATGTTGAATCCGTTGCTCTTAACTTATGTATAGTATTCTAAATTGTGCATCCATATAGTCTTATGGATCCATTACTCCACAGTGGCTCCCCAGATTGCCTTAGAGTGCCAGCCAATAGCAATAATGCTGTAGCTAACAATATAGTACATGTCCTCTTAGGACCTGGGTAAGACTATCTTTGGGGTATCTTGAGGACTAGAATTCTTAGGTCATAAGATAAATGTGTAATGAATTTGAATAAGTAGTAGCAGATTGTGCTCTAAAAAGAGGGCCTGGCCATACTTCTAAAGGCAGTATTTGAGGATTCCCCTATTCCTACATCTTCTCTGACTATGCCTTTATCCAGTTTTCTAATTTTACCAATACTATTATCACAATTTTGAGAATAATTTATCATTTTGTGTAGAATTAACCTGATACTGGCAAAAGTAGGAAAGATTCAGCTTCATACATAGTTTGTGGGTAGGGTAGCAGTATACTGATGGATTGATTGCTTGACTGATGGTTCACTGTGCAGTGCTAGTATAGAAGCAGTGCTAGTTAGTGGAGTGTTCATGGGCTTCTAATCTAATCAGTCTGGGTTTGAATAGTGTCTCTAAGAAGTTAAAAAATGCAGAGTCACACAGCCCCTGAATGGTAGGGTTTGGGGGCAGCACTAGATGAGGCAGGGTGACTCCTAATCTCATGGAGTGGCAGAGTCTGGGGACTGTACTAGGATGTGCTGTGAATCCCAAGGGAGAACTTGCGGTCACCATGGGGCTCCCAAAGCTTAAAAAAGGCCCTTCTTTGCCTCTAAAATAGAAAACAAGATGTTTTCACCAAGAATATTAACAAGTTGCAAGGGTGACCAGTTCTGGCTTCTCTGCATTGAAGAATGGCCAATTTGTCTGGGAAATGTAGCCTTTACTATGGCTGGCCTTAGGTCAAGCTGACATTAGGAAGGTTCTATTACTATAATCAAAGGGAAGAACAGATATTAGAAATACCATATTCATTACAGTGGATGTGGGATTTCTCTAAGGAAAAGGATTTTCCCCAGTATCATTCATCCTGAGAAGAGATGGGTGAGTTCTATGATAGAAAGTGAGAACTCAAAAGAAAGTCTTAAACTTAGGTAAGAAAGAAGTTTTCTCTTCTTTCTGTGGGTGGAAAATGAAGAGGGGACACCAAATGTGGGAAGATAAGCTGGACTTTTAGAATTTGGCAAATAGCTGTAGCAGGGAGGGAATCTAACGCTATAAGATATACTTGGGATTCTTCTAGGAACACATATTTAGCAGGAGTTCAAATTATTCTTTGTGTGGCAGCTCTTCTCTGTTGTACAAACACTTTGGCCATATCTTAAAAAGTAGCACTCTAGTATTATGGTGGGGCATTGTGGGAAAATCCTTGTCTTCCTTAGGGTGACACTGTAGTAAAGAACCAGTAGGTTAAAAAAAGATGGTCTTTATATTGAAGGAGATGATATGTAGTACAGAGGGACATATTAAAAAATTGGACTCTGGGTCTATGTTATTATAATTTGAGCAATAAAGTGAAGTGTGACCTGGGATATACAAAAGTGCATTCTGGAATATAATATAATGTTTACATCTCCATTTTATGCATGAATAAATGAATGCTCATATGTGAATAAGTGATTTGTTTAAGGCCATAGAGCTAAAAAGTGCCGGAACAAGAATGCTACCCCAGGAGCAATGGACCTGAATCTCTATACTCTTAATTTCTGTACCACAGCCCTCAGAAATATGGCTGTCTTCTTCAGATTAGCACACCCCCATTGCCTAATAGTCCTACAGCTACTTGTGCCCTCAGAACTCTAACCTAGTGCCATTCAATATGGTAGCCACTAGCCACATAGGACTATTGGGCACTTGTAATATGGCTAGTATAAATTAAAATGTGCTGTCACAGTAATGTACTTGAGATTGCAAAGACTTAGTACCAAAAAGAAATGCAAAATATCTCAAATAATTTTAACATTGATTGCATATTGAAATGATGTTTTGGATTTACTGCATTACATAAAATGTATTGTTAATATCCACTTCACTTACTTAGTTTTACCTTTTTTAATGGGGCCACCAGAAAATTAAAAATTACCTATATGGTTTGCATTTGTGGCCTGTATCCTGATTCTGTTGGAAGCACTGCTCTACCTATTACCTGTTTTCCTGTTGGGAGTCCCGTTGAAGATGCCTTGACTCAGAGATAGAAGTCATATATCTTTACCCGCTTCTTCCTCCCCTCATCCCCCCGTATTTTTATCTTAAATGGCTCCATGAATTTAGGTTATGTTTTTCTGTGGAGAAGGCAGACTTGCTCCTCCCCACATTCTGTTTTTCCTATGGGAAAAATCTATGAAAAAAGAAAATATGCCTACTGTTTTGATTCCTATTGCCCCAAGAAAAGCAACAATATGAGAACCGTAAGGCCTTATTACAGAGGCTTACGCTGGGTCATCCATTGGCCAAATTCAATGTTGTAGTCAGCATTCCTATTCCTTGCTTTCTCCTGGGCAGGTAAACTAAAATTCTATCACTTTGTAGCCCTGTCTCCTTTGTCAGACTCCTATGAGAATGATAACATCATGTAAACTGTGGGTGCTTAAATAGTGTTTATTGAATGACTGATGACAGAGAAAACAGTTCGACGTCTCATTTTATAGATAGCAAAGATAAAGAGGAACTGGTGTTTTAAGGGAAAGACCCACATCCCTGCTCATCTGCTTCCTCCAGCTCCAGTCATGCTGTTGGCAGTGTCTATGGTGGTGGTGCTAGTGGCAGGGAATCAGTGGCTGAATCTCTTCTTTCCTTGGTGTCACTCTTAGTAGACGTGTATGTAGTCTTTCTTGAGATCATGGGGTTGGCGGTGGCAGAGTCCCCAGCGGTGCCATTTGGGATGATGATGGTGTTGATGTTGGCAAAAGGGTTGAAACTTTTGATTTTGGGGAGAAGAGAGAAAATACGATACTTTGTTTGCATCATTACGCTAGAATTCTTGGTAGTTTTTAGCAGTTTCTGGGAGTCTTCTTCAAGTCTGTGGAGCATTTCATTCTGCAGGTAGCTTTTTATTAATTGAACCACTTTTGGTCCAATACAACATTTTTTCTTTCTGCATTTCTCTACCTCTTTTTCATCTATGGCACAGTGGTCTTTGCATCTCCCAAAACCCATCACACATCTTCCCAAGCCAAAGTATTCTGCACAAAGGAAAGAGAAAACCAGTGAGCTATGGTTAATAACTAGATCTGATGTTAAAATTGCTGGAGCAGCAGGAATAGAGTTAGAGGGAGTTTGTTAATGCTAAATTTTAAGTACAGTGGTTAGAATGTTGATGGAGGCAACTGGCAGGCCAAGAAAGTCTTTGTACACCTCTGAAATCTCAAATAAATCTTTAGTCTCCCCTCAATGGGTAATTTAAAAAATCTAGGGCACATAGAGGAAAGAAAAAAAGGGAACTCAATTATTTGCTTCAGGATAAGATTTTAGATCTCCAGTATAGCCACTTAGATGCTTGTAGGATATCACTCTCCCCCTGTGATCCTAGAAAATACTGACAAGAGTAAAATCTGTCATAAAACTAATCCAAGAAAGAATTTCCAAAGAGAATCAATAGGACGTTCAACAGTTCTGGCTTCTTGCCAAATCCAGTGGTCCATTACTTTATCTTGCTTGTGGTTCCAGGGGCATGGTGTTCTATCATTTTCAGCCTCCCTGGACACTATGTCCTTCAGATGTTTTATCATAGCCTTAACCTCATCTCTGTGATGATAACTCCCACATTGTTATCTGTATCTCTGAATTTCCTTCTTAGTTTAGTACCTCATCTTCATCTGCTCGATGATTTTTCCATCCCAATGTTTCGTCATTTTTTTTGTCCAAATCAGGAAACCTCTCTCTCACTCATCTTAGTTCAACTGATTTTCCAAAAATCACAAGAAATTTATTTAGTGCCTGATGTTGACATACATTTCACTATTGTTTCTCACCAAAGACAACACAGTAAAATTCTTGTATTTCAAGCAGCTACATTGATTAACCCTACTTTCTCATGTGGAATTTGTGGCTCAAGGTAGCTGACTGACTTTACCCAAGATGACACAGCCATACTTGCTTATATTATAGCCCTTCTCTTAGGGCCCCAAGATTAAAAAAATTACACTTTGACTCTTTTGTTCTCTCTTCCTTGACCCATTTCCCAGCTATTCCAAATATTCGGGTGATTCTTGTATTCTGAAACAAGTCTCAGTGCTTCTGTCTTTTTTTCAAAAAACAGTGGCCAGTCCTCTAATTCAGCCTTTTGCCACGATGTGTTGCTAGATGCAGATACGGGTACTTTGGGGGTTTCCAAGAAGACAAAGGCTGAGAGAAGGAATGAATCTCTGTAAAATTCTGTAAAATTTGAGATGGAGACCTGTTTACTGGATCCTAAGAGGAAACTGTTTATGAGCATAAGGGTAAGGACTTCCTCCTTATTACACCAGGGTACAAACGGATAGGAACCTTTACTTCAAGAGATGGTTTAAATTAGAAATAGAGCAAAATGTCATCTTGGGCTGAGTCCCAGATGATAGCTATGTAAAGGGCAGGAAGGCAGTTTTCTATGTTTGATCGTTTCTGAGTACACAAATAATACCCTGCTTTCTCCATAGCTCCCTGTGTGTGCCCATCAGACAGTCTAGGGCAGAAGCCTATGGAGATACCTGGGGGATGGTGCATAACTGATGCAGTAGGCTGACTTTTCAGCTGTATATTTGGGCACCTCATCTTTCAGTATCTCTCTGGGCTCCCATTGTCATGGACAGCCAAATCCCTGCTTTCTCACACCAACCCCTCTTAAACCCAGGATTCCACATTACCTGTGTTCACCTGGTACTGTAGCATGAGACTGGCAAAGATAGGAAAAAGGAGCTTCATGCCTGTGTGCCAGAAAGGAAGCCTTGTATCTGGCTGGTTCTTGAGCTCCAGCCTTTATTGGCTTCTTCCTGGCCTTAGGCCATGAGCAGTGAAGTACAGCGAAAGCTCACAGCAATTGTGTTTTCTGTGATTCAGTTTGAGAACAGCCCTTCCTGCACATTTCATGTAACAGATTTCCTGTTCTTGGTCCTGGAAGGAAATATAAGACACATGAAATGCGAAAGAAAATACAAGCCCTTTGCATCTCTCCTTAAGGCTTTTTCAGGGCAAGAATAATATATTTGCTTCCCTATTTGAGCCTTAATTATGTGTAAGGCACTTAGTGTGTGAGATTCAGAAGAGCAGAACTTGCTATAACCATGGATCCTGGAGGATAGAGACTCTGTCTTTTTTGTACTCTTGTCTCCAATGGCCAGCATGGGTACTGAATCAACATAAAAACTCAGTACATGTTTGTTGAATGAGTTTGTGGGAGGCAGCTCTTGACATAACTTTAACTTCATTAAAAAAATTGATGTATAATTGACATATAACATCATATTAGTTTCAGGTGTACCTCATAATGATTCAATATTTGTATATGCCCTCAGAAGTAGAATTGCTGGATTATATGGTAGTTCTATTTTTAATTTTTTGAGAAGCTTCCGTATTATTTCCATAGTGACTGAACGAATTTACATTCCTACCAGCGGTGTACATAGGTTCCCTTTTCTCCTCATCATTTGCATTCTTGCCAGCACCTATCTCGTCTTCTTAATGATAGACATTCTAACAGGTGTGAGGTGATGTCTAATCATGGTTTTGATTTGCGTTTTCCTGATGGTTAGTGATATTGAATATCTTTTTATATATCTTTTTGGCCATCTGTATGTCTTCTTTGGAACAATATCTATTCAGATTCTCTGCCCATTTTTAAAATCAATTTCTTTTGCTCCTGAATTGAGTTCTTTATATATTTTGGATATTAACCCCTTATCAGATATATGATTTACAAATATTTTCTCCCATTTGGTAGAGTGCCGTTTCATTTTGTTGATGATATTCTTTGCTATACAGAAGCTTTTTAATTTGTTGTACTCCCCGCTTGTTTATTTTTGATTTTGTTAACCTTTGCTTTTGGTGTCAGATCCAAAAAGTCACCACCAAGACTGATATCACAGAACTTACGTTTTCTTACAAGAGTTTTATGATTTTAGTCGTTCCAAGTCTTTGATCCATTTTGAGTTAATGTTTGTGTATGATGTAAGATAGTGGTCCAGTTTCATTCTTTTGCATGTGGCTGTCCAGTTTTCTCAACACCATCAGTTGAAGAGACTGTCTTTTCTCTGTTGTATATTCTTGGCTCATTTGTTGTAAGTTAATTGACCCCATATGTGTGGTTTTATTTAAGGGCTCTCTTCTTTCTGTTCCACTGTTTATATGTCTGTTTTTATGCCAGTATCATACTTCTCTGACTACTATAGCTTTGTAATATAGTTTGAAATCAGGGAGTGTGATACATCCAGCTTTGTTCTTTGTTGCTATTGCTTTTCTGTTTGGGGGTCTTCTGTGGTTCCATAAAGGTTTTAGGATTGTTTGGTTTAGTTATATGAAAAAAAAACCATTGGAATTTTGATATAGATTGCATTAAATCTATAGATTGCTATGGGTAGTATGGACATTTTAATAATATTAATTCCTCCAATTCATGAGCATGGCATATCTTTCTATTTATTTATGTCTTTTTCAGTTTCTTTCATCAATGTCTTCATGTTTCAGTGTTTTCAGTGTACAGATTTTTTTACCTCCTTGGTTAAATTTATTCCTAAGTATTTTACTTTTTGATGCAATTGTAAATGAGGTTGTTTTCTTAATTTCTATTTCTAATAGTTAATTATTAGCATATAGAAACAACAGATTTTTGTTTATTGATTTTGTATTCTGAAATTTTGCTGAATTTGTTTATCAGTTCTACTAGTATTTTTGGTGGAGCCTTTAGAGTTTATAAAAATATATAATATTAGTTCATATGCAAATAGTGACAGTTTTACTTCTTCCTTTCTCATATGGTTTTTTTTAATCTCTTTTTCTTGTCTAATTTCTATGGCTTTAACTTCCAATATTATGTTGAATAAAAGTGACAAGAGTGGGAATTCTTGTCTTGTTCCTGATCTTACAGAAAGAAATTTCAACTTTTCATCATTGAGTATAATGTTAGCTGTGGGCTTGTCATATATGGCCTTTATTACATTGAGGCATGTTACATACTTTGTTAAGAGTTTATATCTTAGGTGAATGTTGAATTTTGTCAAATGCTTTTTCTACAGCTATTGAGGTGATCATATGATTTTTATCCTTCATTTTGTTGATGTGATGTATCATGTTGATTGATTTGTGGGTGTTGAACCATCCTTGCATCTCTGGAATAAATCTCACTTGATCATAGTTTGTGACTCTTTAAATGTATTGTTGAATTTGGTTTGATAATATTTTATTGGGGATTTTTGCCTCTATGTTCATCAGTTATATTGGTCTGTAATTTTCTTTTCTCATGGTTTCCTTGTCTAGTTTTGGTATTTGGGTAATGTTGGTCTCATAAAATGAGTTTGAAGGTGATTCCTCTCTTCTATTGTTTTGGAAGAGTTTGAGAAGGATTGATACTAATTTTTCTTTCAGTGTTTGATAGAATTTACTGGTGAAGCCACCTGCTCTTGGATTTTTGTTTGTTGTGAAGTTTTTGATTACCGACTCAATCTCCTTACTAATTCATCTGCTCAGATTTTTTTTAACATTTTTTATTGATTTATAATCATTTTACAATGTTGTGTCAAATTCCAGTGTTCAGCACAATTTTTCAATCATTCATGGACATATACACACTCATTGTCACATTTTTTTCTCTGTGATTTATCATAACATTTTGTGTATATTTCCCTGTGCTATACAGTGTAATCTTGTTTATCTATTCTACAATTTTGAAATCCCAGTCTATCCCTTCCCACCTTCTACCCCCCTGGTAACCACAAGTCTGTATTCTCTGTTCATGAGTCTATTTCTGTCCTGTATTTATGCTTTGTTTTTGTTTGTTTGTTTTTGTTTCTTAGATTCCACATATGAGCGATCTCATATGGTATTTTTCTTTCTCTTTCTGGCTTACTTCACTTAGAATGACATTCTCCAGGAGCATCCATGTTGCTGCAAATGGCGTTATGTTGTCGGTTTTTATGGCTGAGTAGTATTCCATTGTATAAATATACCACTTCTTCTTTATCCAGTCACCTGTTGATGGACATTTAGGCTGTTTCCATGTTTTGGCTATTGTAAATAGTGCTGCTATGAACATTGGGGTGCAGGTGTCACCCTGAAGTAGATTTCCTTCTGGATACAAGCCCAGGAGTGGGATTCCTGGGTCACATGGTAAGTCTATTCCTAGTCTTTTGAGGAATCTCCACACTGTTTTCCACAGTGGCTGCACCAAACTGCATTCCCACCAGCAGTGTAGGAGGGTTCCCCTTCCTCCACAGCCTCTCCAGCATTTGTCATTTGTGTATTTTTGAATGACGGCCATCCTGACTGGTGTGAGGTGATACCTCATTGTAGTTTTGATTTGCATTTCTCTGATAATTAGTGATATTGAACATTTTTTCATGTGCTTTTTGATCATTTGTATGTCTTCCTTGGAGAATTGCTTGTTTAGGTCTTCTGCCTATTTTTGGATTGGGTTGTTTATTTTCTTCTTATTGAGTCGTATGAGCTGCTTATATATTTTGGAGATCAAGCCTTTGTTGGTTTCACTTGCAAAAATTTTCTCCCATTCCGTAGGTTTTCTTCTTGTTTTATTTCTGGTTTCCTTTGCTGTGCAGAAGCTTGTAAGTTTCATTAGGTCCCATTTGTTTATTCTTGCTTTTATTTCTTCTAGGAGAAAATTTTTGAAATGTATGTCAGATAATGTTT